TGGATTTTTAATTGGGAAGAAATGTTGATTTTTTAAATTATATACCTCTTTAGATACAAATGATAATCTATGAGTCAGATTCCTTCCTTCTGTCTTTTCACTCTTCCTTTCTCACTCCTTTCTCTTTCTAAAACTGTGGCTTTATTGAGCAGAACTATATAAAATTTAGAAATAGGTAAATTTGACTTTAATTCCTGACCCTACCTTACCAGTATATCTCAGTAAATTTCCTATACTTCATTGTATTTTCAGAATTTACTATCATTGTACCTTATTATTTATCCTTGTGCCCCTTAATCAACATATAGTTTGGTTCCTATAAGCAACAGCTGGTGACTAAGTCATGTCAAATACAGAGCTGAGTTTCCAAAACACATTCTTTAAATGCAGAGAAAGGGTGACTCAGGAAGTTTGGTTTATTAAATCTTATTTTATATACCAATCTTAGTTCCCTTGCTCCCATCCATCCCTGTCCACTCCCAGGGAGGGTGAGGCTTCCAAGAGGGATCATCAACATCTGTCACATCATTTGGGGCAGGACTTAGGCTCTCCCCCATGTGTCTATGCTGAGAGATTAACCCTCCATAGGCAATGGACTCCCAAAACCCATTTATGCACTAGTGATAAATTCTGGATCCACTTCCAGAGTCCCAATAGACTATCCAGGCCTCCCAACTGACACCCACATTCAGGAGGCCTTGTTGGTCTTATGCTGGTTCCTCAGCTGTCAGACTGGGGTCCATGAACCTCCACTTGCTCAGGTCAGCTGTTTCTGTGAATTTCCGTGCATGGTTTTGCCCTCTTTGCACATCACTCCTTCATTTCTACAACTGGATTCCAGGAGTTCTGCTCTGTGCTTAGCTGTGAATCTCTGCTTCTACATCCATCAGCTACTGGATGAAGTCGCTACAATGGCATTTAAGATAGTCATCAATCTCATTATAGGAGAAGGACACTTAAGGTAGCCTCTTCTCTATTGGTTAGATTCTTAGTTGGGGTCATCCTTGTGGATTTCTGAATATTTCCCTAGTGCCAGATTTCTCTTTAAACCTATAATGGCTCCCATTATTTAGGTATCACTCTTCTTGCTCTCCTATTCTATTCTTCCCCCAACACAATCTTCCTGATACCTCATGTTCTCTTCCTCCCCTTCTTCCCTCCTCTTTCTCCTACCTCCCTCACAACTTCCCCCATGTTCCCAATTTGCTCAGGGGAGTGCCATATTCACTGCATAGTTGTTAAAATGCTTACAATTTGGGTTAGTATTAATACTTAAGTAACACTATTTTGTAAAAGTGGATAATCAAATATCACATGAACTAATGTAAAATTGAGAGTGCACCAGGCTGTAGAGAAGAATGAGCATGGACAGATCTGATGGAGACACAGACTAAAGTTCTTCATATATCCCATACCCATTGCTCAGCCCAGAGGACATCTGCTTTCTGCTAATGATTTCCCACAAGGATCTCTAATGTTGTTTCTCATTCATTGATATCTGTGAAACAATGACTCCAGAATACAAAAATAAATGAAGATATGGGTCTTGTGGAATATTAAATACTGACAATAGAAAATTATATGATGTATTATCTACTGTTATAACACCTAATCACCCAGAGGTTATTCTAAACTTGCAGATGAAAACAAAGCTGCACAGAGGATAACTAAACTTGATGAACTTGTAGTCTCTAAATACTGAGGGTGAGCATTGTTGCTCAGAAATCATGAAGGTATCTTTCTTTACTTGTGCCTATTAATGAATTAAACAATTGATTTGTGCTATGAATTAATATTGGCTAAATCCTACAAATGTGACTTAGAGATTGAGCACTCACAATCTATGTCTACTGGCATTAGCAAGAACTAATTTTACTTTCTTCCTTACCCATCCTCCTTGGTGCTACATATGCAATCAGTCTTTCCAACCCACAGATGCATAAAAATTCAAAGAAGCAACAGGTAGAGTGGGAACAAAAGTATTATTGCATAATTACCTTCCCATTTGAAGAAATTATTCATCCATTAGGTGTTGTTATAACTTTAGTTAATTCCTTAGTATTAATTGCATTATGTCCAATTATGCAAATTGTATTAGAAGAGGAGATACACTAAAAAGAGTGAATTATGAATACCTAAATTGTTACAGTCTTTCACAACAATAAAACAATTAAAGCAAAATGAAAGCTCTGATTTACATGCACAATGCAAACTAGCCAAATATATCTATTTGTAAAGAAGATGAATGGGAAAATGACTGGGCTAACATGTGGCAATACTAGATTTAGAGAGCTCTTCCAAATATATGAATATAAAATACAAAAAGAATTAACTGCTTATTAACTCACTAAAATTTTCATAGGTCATATGATAATTTAAAGAAAAGAACAATTACATATAAGCCATGTGAGGGTAACACTAATAATTCTAAATAATATAACTGATGATTGTACTTAAAGATTTCATGTAGTGAAAACTTGCATTATCAGATATGTGCACAGAAAAGCAAAATTGGTACAGATGATTGTATATCTGGGTGATGGAAATAAATTTTGTTTTGCATTAGGGATAGGTATGGTAATGATGGATTCAGGTTTACCAAGCAGCTGGTCATCGTGAAGAGGTTTCTGGTGATACTCAAGTAAACAGGGGCCACCAGTCATGTTCAAATCCTTTCTAACATTAAGTTTCTACAGTTCAATGAAAGGAATCTACCACATTTGAAATCCAATCATGTTCCAATATTATACCTTGTTGACATAAAGTATGTGACCCCTGTGTTATATTTTTGTACACTGTATATAATCTGTAAATTATTTGTAATATGAGAAACTGTAAAAATGTGTGTTTTGTACTTTTCTTTCTCAAGTAATACACTTCCCTGTTTCATGTTAAATACTTCCATACAATCAGTTTTAGCCAAAAAAAATCATTAGACAAAGGGTTTCTAGCTACAGATCTCATTAGAAATGCAGGAGGCTAAAATATGAATCGAAAAAGTATATTCACAACTTAGAATTGTAATTATTGTAGGATATAACTTTTGATAAATTTTCTCTCCTGACTCAAACAAGCCTCTCCTCACTCAAACCTATACCCTCAATGTACAGTTATGAATTGCAAATACGGTCATATACTAAAACACATGGAAGACTGTTTCTTTTGTATTCTGGAGATTGAACTAAGGGTTTCATCCGGGCTATCCCAAGCATCACATTTCCCAATTTGTGCATTATTCCAGATCTTTTTTACTCACATGGTAGAAACAATCACCTTACCTTGTAAGTAAATGAAATTTTTGTGTTCTCACATCTAGAATCAGATGTCCTCAAGAGCTCTTGCCTTGATGAGTCACAATCTTCTGTTTTATCAATGTTGTTTCCTAACTGCTAAAACTGCAGTGAAAAACTAAGTTCATCTGGGCTCTGTGAATTAGCATAGTATGCAATACATACATATAAGTGAGCATACATAACACAGATATAACATGACAAAGGGTAACATATATATAGATATATACACCACCTTACATTCATGCACATATACATACACAAACACACATGTGCACATGTGCTCCCACTGAGGTGTGTGTGTGGGATTTACTCATCACAAATCCACGATGGTCACCCTGCTGTTTTGGATGGTGACATGAGTACTGTCCTGCAATTGGAGAACAGGAAATGTGGATAAGGCATGGAAAAACATTTTTAAACAACTTATGCTATTTATACTATAACAAAATAGAGCCTCACCTGAACACATAGCCTAGGATAGCCAGGAGGATCTTTAAATTATCCTCCTGCCTCTAGATCCTCAGTGCCGGGAAATGAGTCCAGGTCCTAGTGCTTGAAATAGGAACTCTTTCACAACTGAGCTACATCCCCAGCAGTAAGTCTCTGATTGAAGATGATCCATGAAGCCAGATAGTTATCAACCTAGAGATGAAATACTGATGTCATTAGAATCAATGTAAAAGATCTGGCACTCAACACTTCAACCTAGTACTCCTGATGGTCAGAGTCAGTGTCTTCCTATGGATCTTTGCCATCTATTTTCCAGAGTCACTTGGGAAATAGTTCCTTATTAAAAGAGACCAACAAGTTTAAGTCATTAGGTCAATTAGATGGTGAAGGTGACCTAATAGACCTTGAGGGGATGCTCACTTGGCAGACAATGTTCAGGGATTTATCAGTCTGAGACTCTTGTTATGTAAGCTCAGATGGCCTCAAATTGGTAATTTCTTGCTGCATCAAGAGCTGATGATGTGTGTGTGTGTGTGTGTGTGTGTGTGTGTGTGTGTGTGTGTGTGTTCCACCATGGCCAGATTCAGAAGAAGATTTTACAACTGGGGACTTGGTAACTGGTGTCACAGATAATTTGTTTAAAAGTGTGCAGTATCTTTCAGTATCATAGTAAATAAGCATTACCCATATCCCAATTTAGAGTTACACATTTTTGAACACATCTTCTAGAAAGTTCTTGCCCACATCAACTGAAAACACTGGTTTGACCCATGGGACCACACATTGGGTGCTGGAGTATGCTGCTGTGCTTAACAACACCCACTGCTCTTGCAGGGAAGTAGGCAGTGCACAATTGCTTGACTACAGATCTAGTACATCTGAAGAGCTCTTGTAACAGACAGGCACTAAAGTCACATGTGCAAATCCAGAGACACAGAATTAAAATAAAAACAGGGTCTAATTTTAAAAGACTACACAATGAAATTGCACAAACATAACATGTTTTTAAAAAGACAATTGAAATGTCATTAGGTCTCCTTTTCCTGTTAGGGTCAGGAGTATGACCCAAACTCTTTACAAATGCTCACACACATTTACTCTGATATTTATAATAATTTATAAATACTGACAGTTCTACCTCTTGGAATTAGCACTCCGATCCTAGGATCTCAGTCTTCCTTGAATCTGTTTGGCTGTATTCCTGCCTCTTATAAATATTATGGGAGAGAGTTCTGGTTTTCTCACAATGGTACTACATTTCTTCTGAATAGAAAAGTCCAGGCTGATGTGAAGTAAGGTGCCAGAATGTCATTGATCTGAGACTGATCTTAAGCCCTGAGGACTGATCATACCAAGTGTATTATCACAGACAAAATATTGGAGAAGAATACTCCAGGATGAATATGCTTAATTTACCTATATAACTTGGCCTATTCTTTGGCATTCAGATCACCAACTTAAACTCAGTAGCCAACATTGATGGAGAACAAATTAACATGTAATATATCTTGAATAAGCTAATGGATTCCATGCTTTGTCTGTTACTTCTTTCCACTATATTACTAAGAATGGATCCAAGACATCAGACCTACTGAGCACACCCTCTGTCGCTGAGTCCACCCTAATCCTTCTTCCCTTCTCCACTCAACATCCTGGAAAGTGCATAGTATTAGTATCTCCAGACATCAGGGAAAGATGTCAGCACCCTCAAACAAAGCAAATGACAATATTTCAAATATAAGACACATATCCACTGCCTACTACTTCCTAGATAAATTGTTATAATGGACTTCTAGGAAGGTGTGTGATGATGCCAAACATCCATGAGGTAAAAAAAAAGATGATAAAGCTTATCAGGTTTATGTCCTGGCTGTAAACATCGGCTCAATTTCTTGTCACAGATATGTACACAGAATATAGACGAGTCCTGATTATGGGATATTTCATTTAATACAAAAGGTGTCAGTGTGAAAATTCCAGTTCTGAAATGAGAAAAGGCAACATCACAGTCAACCAGATATCCCACACGTCTCCTTCCTTTCTCTATTCTACACATTTGTCTCCTCTTTTCTCCTCTTTTCCCATTCTTTTCTTCCTCTTTTTCCTCTCCTATGACCTCTCTCCTTTCTCTTTCTCTTCTGTATCCCTTCCCCACTCCTCTCCTTCTGTCTCTCCTCTTCTCTGCACAATTCTTCCTCCCTCACATATGATGTGGAAGTCCTCCTTCTATTCTGGGTGATCACTGTCATTGGTTCTGTTGGAACTTGTCTTCTTTGTCATAGTCCCAATCCACCTCCCACCTGCTCTCTTATGTCTTCTCCTCCTCTTCCTCTCTTTGCTTCCTCGTCATCCCTCTCCTTCTTCTTACCCCTTTCTGTATATGTCTCTCTTTGTCTTTCTCTCTCTTGATCTGTTTCATCTAGATTGACTCAATGAAACAAAGGAACTCAATGATAAAAATGAGAAGGAAGAAGAATCAAGCAAAAAGTTAGGTCTGTTCAGGCCAAATATTGTGAGGAACAAGTGGGGCTTGTGCTAAAATCTGAGACCAGTAGTCCCCATGGGACACTTTCCAGGCTACAAATTTTATTCCAATGAAAGCAGGATGATGTATTGCTTTCCCAACACTAGCTCTGCTGAAGAATTCAGACTAACAAGATGATGGGAATGATACAGGATGACATTTTTTTTTGTTTTTTGAGACAGGGTTTCTCTGTGGCTTTGGAGGCTATCGAGGAACATGCTCTGTAGACTAGGCTGACCTTGAACTCACAGAGATCTGCCTGCCTCTGCCTCCCAAGTGCTAGGATTAAAGGCATGCACCACCAACGCTCGGCTCAGGATGACACTCTTATGAAGTGTCAGGTATGGAACTTTTCAACCTCTGGTTTTTGAGGTCAGAAAACTAGCCATGGTATCAGTACATCTTTAGGAGCAGCTGGTGTGAATTAGAATATGCGCCTTAAAGGGACGCTTCTAGAGTGATCAGTTAAGACCCTCTAGATATTACTTGGTATTTAAATTTCTCAGTCATAGAGGATTTTGCACTTGTACCTTCCAGGCTGGAATCAGACATACTCACTGTTTATATTTGGGTGAGCAGACCATTACAATTTGATTCTGGCAGCATTATCTGGTAGGAAAAATGTATATGTACATCCACACTCGACAAGAAGACTGTCTGGGTTGGATGCATCTAAAGAGAAAAAAGAATTCAAGAATTCCCAGTAGGACCCATGTCTGAACCAAAGGAGGAGGTCCCAAGGAGTTTCAACAACTGGCTCCAACTGTGATTCCCCACATCATGCCAGGAAAACACTTTAGTCAGCTAGATGAAGAAGGAAGAGGGATTGATCTCTTTTGTCCTCCAAATCCATAAACACCTGAAGAAGCTGAGGTTTAAACAACTACTACTTAGCTGGTCCCTCACCGAGGATAAGATCCTTTATTCACCCATGCCTAGTTATACCTGATGTCTGAATAGTAACCATTCCAAGTTTTGTCCTTCAGCTTCTAACCTGCCTCTGCTTCCCTCCTGCCAATAGCAGACCATAACTCTGTCTGTACCAACAGTTCCCAGGACTACTTCAAACATCAGTTCAACCTTCTCTCTGGGTCTTGCCTTCAGCCCTGTCTGTGAGACTTGTGTGGTTCTCCCTATGTGAAGAGGAGCCCCATCTGCTCTTATTTTGTGGTACAGTACATGCATATGTCACATTATTTTGTGCCTAGTTCCTTTACTTCCCTCATTCACTGGCTCACCAGGTTTAAACACACCTCAGACAACTAATGCCAGAGTGGGGATGAACCTTACAAGTGTTAAGTCAAGGAAGCCAAAAGTAAAAGACAACGATCTTGTGTTTTCTAGGAACAAGCCAGTACTGAAATATTGGTAGCATGGGGGAGGCACATTTAGGAGATGAACTCTAATGAAATCAAGGAAGAGATGATTGCAACAAGAGGGGGATCAATCTCAGAAAAAGGATGTTGGAAATCTGGACCAACCCCTTGGAAGATTCCTGTTTCCTTCTCTAAGTGTTGTATGCACATGAAGCTGCCTTAAGAGCTATTAAACTACACTGTTCAAATATGTATACGTACAAGTAAGCCATATTTAAAATATCAAGCATTTGTAAAAGGAATGACAGCCAAAAAATGGCAAAATCAAGGAAACAAACCCAACTAGACAAAAGCTTTAATCAATCCATTTGCCAGGTCCTGTGCATTTGAGGACTATGTTGAACCAGTTTTATAAGGAGTGGTCTCATCACTCTCCCTTACCTAGGCCTTACATGTATGGCTCAGCATGACAGTCCTGAGATTCTGTAATAGCCATGAACATATCCCACATGTTTATCGAGTCCCCATTCTTTCTTTTTATTACATATTGGTGCCAAAGTCATCCCCCAGCAGTTTCATCTCCTGAATGGTAGGCTTGCAGGACTGTGCCTGTACATACAGGTTTCTATGATTTCTATAAACCTTGCAGTCTCTGTCTACCATGGCCCCAAACTCATAGGCCAACCTCCTCAATGAGGTCCCGCTTCAACATGAGAAATTAAATCTGTTTCGTGATGGAGTCTGTCCCTGGGTTACATGCTGAATTCTTTCTCTCACTGTCCCTGCTGTGTGGCTTCTGTGAACACCATAACCAATTCTCCTACAGCCTTTGTCTCTTGCATCCCCCACTGTGTTCCTGCTCTCTCCATTAGATCTTCTTCTTTGCTGTCAGGAAATCAAGTCCCTTGCTGTCTGCACACCTCCAATTATCAGAATTCTGTGCCCTTGGCAAACAAAAGCCTCCAGGTCTATCTCCTGACTTCACCTGGCTTACCACAATCTTGTTTCTACTGCCATCGATGGCCCCACAGATACGACATCTCACAAGTGTCTTAAATACCACAAGGTAGCACAGAACCCCACTGCCAAAGTCAGTTTTCCTCTAGATCCCCTATTCAAGCTTATGAGAGGATCACCGCCATCCCGATGAACTCAACTGCAAGGTTGCCCAGTTGCAGACTTCTCAACCTCAATTCCTCAGTCTTGAATTTCTGAAATCCCACATTCCTAAAAACATGGAAGTTAGCAGCTTCCAAAAATTAAATGACTTCTGCTCTGCAACCAGCCTTGCAAATCCTTCATTTTATCTCTGGAGTCTGGCTTTAATCACATCATTGTTCTGCCCTAATTAG